TCTATATATTTTTCTCTCTCTTCCTTCTATTTTCTCATTGCCTCAATATTTCTCTTTGCTTTTCCTTCTCTCTCCCTCCTTCCCTCTCTTTCTCTCTCTCTCTCTCTCTCTCTCTCTCTCTCTCTCTCTCTCTCTCTCGCTCTCTTTATTTTTATACCTCAAATGATTATTCAAAGCAAACTAGAGATATGTGAGGGCGCAAATCGTATGGCTTGCAATTTCTGTCTTTGACTAAACAGACCAAGTTGCCTACAACCACAGAAACTAACTTCAGTAAGTCGGTGGACAGCACGGTCTCTCGCCGGACCACCGGAGTTAATAAATAACGTCGTAACGAGTGAAGATTACACCAATAACAAATTGGCAATAGGTTGTATGTTTGTACATATATATTTGTACTACTATACTATACGCAGTTATATAACCAATAGGAACAGTGATATATTGTTTGATAATGTATTTACTTTGTACTAATTTAATTTCCATTAAGTTTAGATGAATTGAAGGTTGCATTTTTTTTTCTTTGTATAATCCTGTACTTGTGAAAGGAAATAGATAAACAGATCATTTATTCGGGCCATATTACCAGCCATGCCAAAATTAATTGAAAAATTATCAAACGTTTCCCATTATCAAATTTTGAATTTTCTGTTGTTACATATATTTTCGACAGTATGTTAAAGCATGTTTCACACCAAGTCGCGCAAAGCATAAAAGACATCGCGAGAGATCCGTGAATTTGTTCAAGCGAAAATCTCCTTCCGGAGTCCTTGTACCAAAAGATATACCTCTTTCCTTCTCCACCTTTAACTTTAACATTTATTTATTGAACCTCGTGTAATAAAGTTATTGTGATTTTTTAAAAATTTATTATGAGATAATACATCAAGAATAATTATTTAACGGCTTATTGTTAAAGTTACTTCCTTCAATTAAGTACTCACGGATATTCTAATTAGCCGGTCGATTAAATCCGTTTTAAACATTTATTCTAGAAAGTGTCTGTAAAAGTGACTGACATGAGCTCACAATTTAAAAAAAAAGAAAGTTCGTCGTGAAATAGTTAAGTGTAAATTGCTTCAAACTTAGTAGAGTTTGTGAGAAAAAAATCCACAATTAAAAGTGTCCTGTTAAACATATTTTATGTTTAACGACAAAATAAATAATTTATTAACGTTGTAGTGTTTTTTAAAAATATTTACTTAATCAAACCGGCAAATTGATGCTATGTTAATGAACCGCTTTTTTGGCCTAGGCTTTTAATTATTACGGTAAGAAGATCCCTTTCATGAGTTTTGTAAGGAAAAATCACTTTCCGTTGCAAACCAATCTTGATGAAAGTACATACTCTCGATTACAAAAATATTGTATTTAGTAAAAAATGTATGCTGATTAGTAACCGTTAGTCAGTGATTATTTGGAGATCGAGAAATGCGGTCTGCTGTGACGAAGGTTTTAGAAAAACATTTTCTTTGTCGCGACAACGTTTCGATCTTTATTGAGATCATCTTCAGGGCTCAAAGTGGTTGTTTTATATGGTAAACAGCAATACCTCACTAGCAATCTCAACACGACATTCAAGAATGACACAATTACGCAGAAAACAAACACTTGGAGCCCTGAAGATGATGTCAATAAAGATCGAAACGTTGGCACGACAAGAAAATGTTTTTCTAAAACCTTCGTCAACCAGACCGCATCTCACGATATCCCAATAATCACTTATAAATAAAATAAAGTATTTTCTGTCAAACAAGACGGTTTAAGGGCAAACTCAATATGACCGGGGTATAAAGCCAGAGGTCTTGGGTTCGAGTCCCGCTCGTGACACTAATTTTTCTTCGCAATCTCCTTTGAAAAATGAAATCCCACTTGCGTCACTTCAATATTGAAGACAGCCAAGTCGAGATGATTCTGATGATTCTCAAAAAGAATAAACAATTCTTAACTGTCGTGTAGTGGATGTGATAAAGTAATCAGAAGAATGATTCCTCAAGGCGAGAAGTGGCCTCTTGGCACTTCAGTTGAAATGACTGGCAATCTTACTTTTTTGATAGAACTGCTTGGATGTTATTGATTGGCCCTTACGCACGCGGTAAAAGGTTCTGGAACACGTGTACACACGTACATACATGTATTGAGACCCACCATAAGTTTGCGGGAGGTCTCAGTGTGCCGGACATTCCGCTGAAAATCAGCCATCATACATGCTAATAATTATATTTCTTTGATTTCGTGGTCCGATTGTCCAAATAACATCTTTCGATTAGTTAATCTTTATGTAAGGTATTGGTTGAGATAAAAAAGTCAATGTCACGAGCGGGATTCGAACCCACGACCTTCGGCTTGATACGCCGCTGCTCTACCACTTGAGCTATCGTGCCTTTGATCCGCTCGGACACCAACTTCCCACCTCAACCCAACATTTCGAATTTTCCCTCTTTTTTGCCAGGCATATTTAGACGAAGGTCGTGGTTCGAATTCCGCTCGTAACACTGACTTTTTTATCTCAACCAATATCTCACAAAAAGATTAATTAACTAATAATTATATTTACACTAATAAATAAATTCGCTCTTTCATACCATATGAATAAATAAAATTTGGGGGAGTTTTACGCCAATGTCCCTCTCACAATCACTCGAAAAAAAAAATATATATATATATATACATATTTTTTTATTTCATTGATTGTTAGACATATTGGCGTAAAACTCCGGTGCCTCCCAAATAAGTTGGTGGGGGTGTTGTATATTTCGCCACAAACCTACACACACACACACACACACACACACACACACACACACACACACACACACACACACACACACTTACTCACTCAATTCAGGCTAATGCATTCATTCTGTACGATAAAATAACTAACCTGATACACTCACACTAGGGATGGGAAGGGTATAGGGATAAGAGAGGCGGTCACAAGGCGTACTGCACCTCGACCTTAATAGATCTATTGTACTCCTCTGTTAATTAAAACTAACTGGCCAACTTCAGGCTATTAACCGGCCTCCACAGCTTTGCCAGTGGTTCCTTGGTGTAGAATCTTGCTTGTGGTTTTTCTTGTCCTAGTTGCAAGAACCTGCACCTACATAGACCTTTACAGAAACATAGAATGTTTTCTGCGGTCTCCTCTTCCTGGCAGTATCTCCACAGTGTTTCTTCCGTCTGTACTCCTATCTGGTGCTTGTGCTTTCTTAACTGGCAGTGCCTCGTCAGGAGTCCAACCAAAACTGGTTGCGGTTGCCTTCCATTCTTTTGTACGTTTTGCGGATGGTCCTTCTATGAATCTCTTCCCGTGCCTCATACCTGTAGTATTGTTCCACCAGGTTGGTACCATTGTAAGGTTTATCCTCTTTTGTGGCAGGTTGCTAGGCCGCAGTTGGGTTCTGGGCCCATAGAGTCCATGTTGGCTCCCTTTTTGGCGAACATGTCAACCTTTTCGTTGCCTCTATGCCCCGAATGTCCAGAGACCCATGCAAGGGTCAGGTCATTAATGTCGCTGATTTCCATCAGGGCTTCCATGCATTTCCAAACACTTTTTGCCTTCGCCTCGCATGAGGCTAACGCCCTGAAAGCTGCCTGGCTGTCAGAAAAAAATGGCTATCTTCCGGGAATGCATTCCTAGCCTTTTTATTGTTCTGGCGCAGTTCAATCGCTATGACTTCAGACTGGACAACTGTAGCATACTTGCCTAGTTTTACCGTCAGTTCGGTCTTGGGGTTCATCCCAACGACCCAGATCCCGTACCCTTGTCGATTTTGGAGTCGTCAGTATACCAGTAGGAATTTGAACACTCACGCTAATAAATACATTAATTGCGATATCTTTGCAGTCTCAATGCATAGTCGGCATATTTTTGTTTCAGTTTTCCCATTATTTTGATGAATTAATTAAACGAACAATGGCCAGTATAAAAGCCTATGATTTTCTTCAATTATTGTCCGCTAGAGAGAAGTGAATTTTTATTTTCCTAGTCGAAATGTTTTAGTACCATGTGTGGTCATTCACTGTATTCGTTCACTAGGTTTATTGGTCTAGGGAGCATTCGGATAAACGTATTTGCAAGATTTAGTAAAGCAAGTTGTGTGAAGTACAAATGCAATGATTACGATGGCTCCTTGGTTGGTGGGATTGGAATATTTTAGGAGTATGAAAGTCAAAACTAATAATCAAAAAATTCACTAATTTCGTGGTCCGCTTGACCAATTAATATATTACAATTAATTAAGGTTTTTAGTTGAGATAAAAAAATGGCAAAAAGGAGGGAAAGTTCAAAAGGTGCGGTTGAGATGGGAAATTGGTGTCCGAGTGGACCGAGGTCACGATAGCTCAAGTGGTAGAGCAGCGGCGTATCAAGCCGAAGATCGTGGGTTCCAATCCCGCTCGTGCCATTGACTTTTTTATCTCAACTAAAAACCTTAATTAATTCTAATAATCAAAGCTTTCTTTGATTTGAGACGCAAAATGGCATAATGAAGTCCAGCATATTTTTACATATTATTTCCATTTTTTTTAAATCTTGATGTATTTGTTTATTGTTATTCACCATATTTTGTAAAACCCAATTGTATATCTATTTTGGATTTTTTCTTTTTATGACACTAACTTTTCCAAAATATTACGTTTTGTTATTATTATTTACTGACTTTTTTTCTCTTACAAGTGTTAAAATCTATTTGAAGTTTACGTCATATTAGATCAATAAAGCCTTTTAAAGTACATAATGCTTCACCAAATCAAGATAATAAAGGAAGCTTTGGAAACGATACAGGGGATGTTTCTAAATAGGGCTTAACTTAAATATTTTATTGCCTGAGTAGCCCACCCACCAAAGAATGAGACTTTAAAAGCTTTAAACTGACAATTTCATTTATGAATTGTTAGGCTATGTAATCTCAAAAGTAAATTGATTTAATTAACCATTTCAATTATTTATTCGTCGGCTAACCAAAAAGAAACAATAATTTTATGTGTTTGCTGTTATGGATTCTCTAAGCGATAATTTTTTGTAAAAAATTGTACGTATTTTAAAAACTTTTAGAAAAGCTTCTTCATTCATTATTAGCAAAGACTAAGTTTGAATAATTATTTATTTCAGGTTCAGGAGGCTCCAGAGCCCGTTTTCCTGCCTTATTATAAACTTGGCCATCGGAGATCTTGGAACTTCATGCCTGCATATTATGGTCGTCGTTTCATCGTTCAAAGGAAAATGGGCCTTTGGCTCAACAGGTAAGCTAAATTTAAGCATTTTATCATCAAATTCCAAGTCAAAGCTTTATTCTTTTTCACAAGTTTTATATACACTTACCGGAATCTTCTTTGAGGTTTCGTGTTAGCTGACACCTCTGTTACATCGTACATTGCTCTCTTTTAATATTTAAATCGGTAAGAAAACTTTAAAAATATTTATAATATTCTAACGGTCCAATCAAGTTATATTACCATGTATATACCTTATTAAATTTTTTTATAATTATTTTGTCGTATTTTATAATACATCGGAGATATCTGAAATAGAGCATGGGAAGTTTGGTGCAATTTAATTGCTGTATAGAACTTCGTAAGCCACGTAGAGATCAGGTCGTGGGGGCTTAATTCAATAATGGTAATTTTGCCTATTCAGGCTTCTCTCCTGTTTTATGTACTTTAATGTTTTGAGCGAGGATGATTCATATCCTAGTCTGACTACTATTGCTGATTTTGTAAGCAGATTTGTTAACGACGAATACCATAAGAGATTAATGGAGAAATCGACGGTTACAGATTTCTGTCAAATTACGACTGAATCGAATTATTTACCGACATAATAAGTATTGACCATATTTTACAAAGCAGTTAAATAAAAAGCCTGCGGGATGACCTACGGAGATGCTGCTGATTTATGGTGGCATTGCGGGCGAGGCTCCGTTGCTGTAGGCGTTTTGTTAAGTCGGGAAATGTTAAAAGGTTATGGGTTTGTATGGAATTCTACCTTTTTTTTTTCTTCTTGCATATAAGCCCAAGCAAAGGGAACGGTCGATCATATAATTTTTTCTCAGCAGGGCTATCTTCAAAGGCCATATTTGACATCCATTGTGTACTAATTGTACTATTGTACCTTGCCTCCATGTGCGATTCAGGGTTGCAAATCGCTGAGGCAGAGTCTCTCAAGCCCAGGTGTGAGAGACATTCGGCCTTCGGGGAGTAGCAGGGAACCAAAAGGGAAACTGCGAAAGCCTGAGGAACCGGTCGCCCACAACGAGCGCTCTGATTGTGAAGAGTGGATACTTGCGATTGAGGTTCCCAATCCGACCTGCGGGATTGTGTTCCCGCAGACTCGGATTCATCCTCCCGAGACGACTGGCTGGGATAGGGCCACTTGTTCGGATCTTGAAAGGCCATCTCGTCTCACCCACCCTGGGAGTCGTGGCGCGCTACGTGTGGAACTACGGCGACGACGGGTGGTATACTGTGGTTTGAGACTCGAGACCCCGAAACGGCTAACCTCGTGTTCTCATCCACGGCCCTTTTTTCTCAATCCGAGTTCCTTCATTCTATCCTGTGACCGACCCCTCCCAACCCTTGGCTGCAAGGGGGTATCCGGGCACAAAATAAAGGTGCAGCCCAGAGGTCGTGGCAACCTCTCTGAAACTCAAGCTGTACTCGTGTCGGCATGGGCGGCGGGTACCTTAGTAGAGTCACACGAGAGCCAGTGCACTAGATCCTGTCTGCATAGTCGGGGGAGGGTGTACGGCCGTCTGTACTACGGGGTAACTTAAATATTTCAAAATCAGCCCAATGTTTCAATGGGAAAGGTTTCGTGGTGGCGCGTGGTGACGCCCCTGGCGGTAACTTAGATAGAGGCTGTCTTCTATCTGTGACCTTCGTGAAGCTTGCGTATGGCCAGCGTACTTACCTCGGTTCACGGGAGACGTAGCGACCGGACGACAGCGTGGAAGAGTTGAGGATGCGATGATCATGCTGAATAGCCCCTCGAATGCGTGCGTAAGCGAACGGAAACGGGTAGTGAATCGGTGTCTCCGACTCGAGTATGCTTTGCATTGTTGTGCGTATGACCGGCGTGGTACCCTTGGGGAAGCGAAGGATCGGACCACCTAAGCTGAGCGTATGGCGTCCCTCGAATGCGCTTGGCAGGTGTAGGCTGAGCTCGATAAGAGATTTACGGTAGGCGGTGCTCATCTAGGGTGTGGTCAGCAATTCTACTTTAAACTAAACCACTGTCAGGGAGTTCCCGGAAGTTTCTACGCTAGGGGAGCCCCTATACTCAGGGAGATAGAGTGGCCTTCTATATCTAGGGAGTACGCGGGAGAACAGGCTGATGTATTTCGGCCTGTTAGCCCTTTACGTGCGGCATACGACCCGATGCACAGTGTGGGCCCGACCATTCGGAGTGGACAAGCGGAGAGCGAGGTTGTCTCGGCCCTAAGGGGCTGGGGCGCCTCTACACCAATGCTGCTCTCATCTTGAGAATCAAAAGTCCGATAAGGCCGAATAGGCTAGGTGCGGACGTTAAAGATCCTCATTCTTCTTTTTAGGACGACCGAGTATACGGGAAAGACTACGCGTTATTCCTACAGGGACAACTTCCTTGTGGGTTCAGGCAAAATCCGACCATCAACCCTGGTGCCTTGGGGCAACCAATGATAAAGGCAATTTCCCCCCTATACCCTTCTTTTCCTAATTTTCCTTTCTCTTCCTTACCCCCCTCTGCTTTGGCAGAGGCTTCCTGGGTTTCTCAACCCGCACCCCTTAGGCAACGATGCATCAGTATGGGGTTCGTTCGAACTCCCGGGTGGGCGATCAGTCCCACCTTAAAAATAATCCTGGAGTAGAGTATCCAAGCGGCTCTAGTAATTGAGTTGAGGACTCGTGGTTTGTAAACAAATTATACCCTAGCTGGAGGGTACCGGCCAACCTGAGCCGGAGATAGTGCCTTCTCTACTCTCCAGGGGTGGTGAAACGGCTCGAAGGCTGTGCCGGAAACCACAAAACTGCCTTTTTCAAGGCACATGTATGGAGCACTTCTGAGCTTGGTTAGCATTGTACCACCTCGCTAGCCAATGAAATCAAGTCCATCCATGTAAAATATTCCTAGTCTTCTCTTTGAGAACACTGGGCGACTGAGAAGTCCTCTCGGGGATAAGTCCGGACGTTAAAGATCCTCACGGGTCTCAACACCCATGAGTAAAGATGGGAACATCTGTACGCGTTATGCCATTATAGTTTCTCCTTGTTTTCAGTTTACCAGTAAAAACGGTTTTTAAAAAATTTTGTGCTTTCACCGTGTATTTTCGTGTCAAGTTACCGCTACTTAAAAAAATAGTAATATCGTGCAATTTGTTACTGTAAAATTTCCTAGAGGGTTTACGCTGTTGTTCATCGTAGAATTTATTTAAGGGGAGTTCCAGGAATTCAGAAACGGGATATAAAGCGGTTTTTTCCATGGAAAATTGTTATTATAGTAAGGGGAGCCAGTGGCCAAAGTAGGTTTATTATATCTTCTTTCTTAACGTCAGTTTAATAAAAAACAACCCTTACAACCTCACTACTTACAAGGCACTAATTATCTGGTGTATTTATTGTTATGTAATGTTGAGTACACATCCACTCAAATTTTCACTGGGTTTAAGGTCTTTTCAGGTTATTTGATTTTACATTCTTTTACCTAAGAGGTTATAAATAATGCCAACATTAATTTAAAGTTTAAAAATCGGTTGTAAATATTAATAATATTGACCTTCTCAAATTTTAACAAATAAACCTTTTAAAACCCTGAACTAATACCATTTTAACAAATAAATTGATATAATGTACATATGAACATGGACATATACATATTAGACTTAATTTCAACAAGAAACACTATCCTATGTTTTTAAAAATTTTTAAATATTAGATATATTAAATTAAACATTTTTCACTATTTTTTTAGAAACAGCAGAAAAAGAAAAAAAGGAATTTTAAGGGTTATTTTCTAAAAGCTCTTTTTACAAAGGGTGGAATGACCTTACATTTCAATTCAAAAGGAGACAGTTGCAGAAAGGTGTTCACCCACTTCTTGGTATAATTCAAAGGGGAAATAAATCAGAGTGGCCCTTTGTTAGATCTTTTTTAACTGCTACGCTGGTCTTGTATGAAGTAATGTTTGATGATCTTTACACAAAAAAATTTGTTTTTACGTTAAAATGTTATAAACTGTTACAAACCGTACAGGAAATGGGGTCAATAACGATTAATAAAAAAGGCAACATTATATTTCCAAATTTGAACAAAATTGGACAGAGAAAGAGCTCAATCGAACAAATAAATGGCACATGGTTAGATCCTTTTAAATTTGCATTAAAATTAATTTATTCGATAATGTCCATACTGAAGTGAAAAAAACCAAAAACGTATGAAATCTTGTATAAAAAGTGTGTTTTTCTATATTTCTATATTTTCTACAAAAGCATACATAAAGTCAATATTTTTTTCTCTGTGTGCGTTGTAGGAGAATTCTGCAACGAGTGGCCAACCTGTTGCTTATATTATGCTATAAAGCTTATAATAAAAATTATAACACAGTTACTTCAAAGAGAAAAAGGCAGCAAAACTATGAAAAAACCTTGTTTCAAAAGAATGAGGAAGAATATTTAATACAAAAATATACAAACCTAATGAGAAAAGATAAAGCAGTAAGATAACAAAATGATAAAAATAAGAACGAACGTTTTTATATGGTATATAATAAATATTACATTATGAAAATACCGAGGGTTAAAAATAAAAAAAGGAGTCGTTCTTTTTAAGTCTTAAAGGCTCCGCGACCAATATTGGTCTATTGTGCAACTTTGTTTAGAGCACTTCGTTAAGCGTAAGACTTTTTATCAGACCATAAATCTATGTTAAGGGAAAATATATAAAATATTTTAGAACTTTAAATGATTATGAATTATGCTCATATGCCAAAATGTATTTAAATTACATGAAAGAATGGTTAAATAATCAGACATTTTTTAAAATTTATGTAAGGTATTGATTGAGATAAAAAAGTCAGTGCCACGAGCGCGATTCGAACCCACGACCTTCGGCTAAATACGCCGCTGCTCTACCACTCGAGACTTTGAAGTCACAATAGCTCAAGTGGTAGAGCAGCGGCGTATTTAGCCATGAGTTCGAATCCCGCACGTGACACTCACTTTTTTATCTGACCCCATACCTTACATAGAGATTAATTAATTGAAATATATTATTTGGACAATCGGACCAAGAAATCTAATGAATTTTTTAAAATGTAGGAGAAACCTTGATGTACATACTAAAAAAAGAAATTGTCCCAGGCAACTTCCATGTAGAACCTCCCCCCCATCTGATGAAATTCGTTCTCTAACAGACGCTTCAGAATCAGTCCGTTAAGTATCGTTTCAGTATAAAATAATACATTTTTTTTAAGCACGAGGACATTAGCTGATTTGGATTTCACGTCATGTTTTTAATGGTTAAAGGTCATTGGTTAATTTGTCAATGGTGTTATCTCCATTATTATCTACTTTGCTAAGCTTAAAGCTTTTATCAGACCCCAAAGCTTTAAGTGCTCGTGCGAGTACTGTACAAGGCTTTACCTCTACCCGAATTAGTATATGCCTTCGCACTAACAGAACACATATTACTGTTTCCTCTTCTTCCTGGCAATATCTGCACTGGTATATTTCTGCTCCTCCGAGTCTTTAATTATGCCTCAAAAGTTTGCAGTGTCCAGTCAGCAGTACTATTAACTAGAAGACTATTCTAGTCTTAACACTTCTTAGGGTAAGTTGTGCCAATACTTTCTGTGATGATAAAAGGGTCCGTCATGTTCATCGAACATTTTGTTCTAATCATCTTTGATGAGTTTTTTCATTTCTGTCTGAAATACCGAAAATCAAGATATCCCGAAAGCCATCTGACAGGCCAACCCAAGCCAGTATAAGAAGACCAAAATGGTAATGACCAAATTGCATATTTAGTTAGATTTTAATTTTTCCAAAGCAGCAGTAGAGGTCATTTTGATTATAATACTAAAATGAACTTTTTTATTATTCAACTTCTAACATGACGATTCAATAGAACTTAATGGTTGTACCTTGGCCATAAAAATGTATTATTAAAAATGATATAAAACACTTTTATCAAATTCAACTGGGATTATCACATTAATTTTGACTGCTGTCAAACATTTGAGTTCGATCGTCTGGATAGCTGCGCCATTAGGCTATAAAGAGGTCGTGGCGCTGGGTTTTTTTTTCATCTAGTCCTTCTGCGGATTATGTCTTTCTTAGTGACGTCCATCCATTTAAAAGTATTTAATGAAAAATGAAGTGTTTCATTTTAAGTTGGTATCCGGTTTGTTTCGTGGTGGTTAATGGCTGTTTTGTCCCCGGATAAGGATTGATGAAGCACGTTGTAGAAAAAGTTAATATTTTTTGGACAATGAATCACAAAAGTTAAAAGTTTACATTTTTATGGAAAGCCGTGTGGCGAAAACAACAGTGATGTCAGGGAAAGCCTGAGGTCTTTGATATCGGAATTTTAAGGATTAATTTACGTACTTGATCCACAGATCATACATGAATAAGTTCAACGACGTGGATAAAAAAGAAAAACCTTTTTACGGTATTTGATATTCGGATGCATAAAAGATTTATAAAATATACGTACTATTTTTAGTTGCAATAAAACGTTTTACTGACCCGTGTTTCAAAAAGAAACCACGAGGAAATTTTAATCTATTTTGAGATAATTGAATCCTTTTTTTTTAATCATTTAAAAAAAAGAAATCCATAATTCTCTCGAATGAAAACTTATGATGCTGACGTGTAATAAAGAGAAGTCAATTTAAAAAGGATTTTAGGATGTATTTAGCAACGTTAGCGTTTTATTCTTTTCAATGCGAGGATACGCTCATCCAGATTAGAAAAGCTGTGTCCTTAAGCTTTGAGCTTTTTCTCTCAAGCCGCAAAAATTCATTTTACCTTCTTAAACGGGACGCTTTTGAAGTCTTGAAGGACTTATTGTTCTTGTTCGGAGGTAAAAGAAGACTTTTGGATTAACGGGTTTTACTCGAATGAATCGATTCATTTTGTAAAGGACACATTGATTTTTTATTTTAACACTTAGATGGCACAATGTATAATTTTTATTGTTAAATAATTTGTAACTTTTTTCTAGGGTGTGTTTTCTACGCATTTGGCGTCGGTTTCTTCGGCATGATGTCCATTTTCACCCTGGCGGCGATTTCCGTCGAGCGGTACCTCGTCATCACTTCCAGGCCTTTGTCCAGCTGGAAATTGACAAGACGTGGAGCTAGAAAAGTAATTTAAACATTCAATTTTAAGTCAAAGAAACTCAGTATGCAATTAATTAAAACCTATAACAATTAATTAAGGTTTTTAGTTGAGATGAAAAAAAGTCAATGACACGAGCGGGATTCGAACCCACGATCTTCGGCTAGATACGCCGCTGCTCTACCACTTGAGCTATCGTGACCTCGATCCACTCGGACACCAACTTCCCATCTCAACCCCACCTTATGAGTTATAATGTTCAATTAAAAAAAATGATGTAAGACTTTGTTAACAAACTAATTAAATTCCCTAGTTTTCGTTGTCTGCTTGACCAATTAATATCTTTCGATTAATTAAGGTTTTTAGTTGAGATAAAAAAGTCAGTCTCACGAGCGGGAATCGAACCCACGACCTACCGGCTCCATATGCTAGTAACTTTTTATCTCAACCGCACCTTTCGAATTTTCTCTCCTTTTTGCCATTTTTCAAATTCAAAGGTGGGGTTGAGATAGGAAGTTAGTGTCCGAGTGGATCGAAGTAACTAGCTCAAGTGGTAGAGTAGCGGCGTATCTAGCCGAAGGTCGTGGGTTCGAATCCCGCTCGTGACACTGACTTTTTTTTCAACTAAAAACCATAATTAATTTGTTAACAAAGTTTACAGTTTTTGGTAGTTTTTCTACTTGAACGATTTTTTAAAAATTATTCATTAGGTTTGATCTACATTGGTGGGCTTACAGGATGTTCTATTTGAAGAGATATCGTTACTGATTATTGAAGTGACAATTACGAAATAAAAAATAACACGGTTTACTGCTTCCACAATCATAAAATCAGATTAACGATTTATGACATCTGTCATGTTCAGATGGTAGGGAAGAGAAAGTTGTTAAGAGAAACTTTATTGTCGCATCTTTCCAAATTTCGGTCACTACTTCTTACAATACCGTCTAATTGCTTGGCAAAGTTTAACCTGGTTAGAGAAGAGTAAAAAATATCGAAACATAATTCATAAATTGATTCCAGGTTGGGCAATGAAACTTTTAAAACCAAAAATTCCCCATCGTGATGGTAAATACGTGTGTTGGCTACAACACATTCGATTTTGACCGAACCTAAAAAAATAAGATTCTTTGCAAACAATTCCTTGCGACGTTTCGCCAAATGCAATATCATTCAGGACAACGGACCTATAAAATTTTTGTTACAAAACAGAAATAAAAGGAAATTGTTTACTATAAACTTAATATTAAATCTTTAAATTAAACTTTAAAAAAATATTTTTTTTTAGATTTGTTTTTTTTCTTGGATTTACTGTACCAGCCTGGTGACCCCACCGTTATTTGGATGGTCTCGTTACACCCTTGAAGGCTTGTTAACTTCCTGCTCTTGGGATTACACGACCAAAACCGTATCCAATACCGTCTATTATCTGTATCTACTGGGTTTTGGGTTTATCGTGCCCGTCGCCGTCATCACCTACTGCTACACGTCCATCGTGTCAGCTGTGTTCGCCCACGGTAGAGAGATGGCCGGCGTCGACATGACATCAGGTAAATAATTTTTAACTTAATATTTTTTTTATCGAGATTTATAAAAGTTGTGATATTTTTGACGGGGAATTTATTAAATTTTATAATTTTTGATAAGAATAAACTGATTTTGACTACTATATTAAGTAATTGAAAGAAGCCCTCGTTTTTTGTTTTATTTTATAAGACCAATTAAAAAATATAGCATTAATTTTACTTTTCACAAAAATTCTAAAGTACGTTAATGACTTAAGAAAATTTATCCCATTTACGATGTATTATGTAAATACGCATTGCAGAGGGAAAAGTTCAAAAATATTATTCCATAGTGTTAATCTAATAAAAGGTAGATTTTTATATTAAAAGCTGAATAAATTTAAAAAAATAACAATGTACGTTTTCTTCATCTTTAATAGAAAGACTAAACGGTTTACAGGATTAAATTTAAATGTGGATTATAAAAACTTCCTATGTTTTTACAAATTTTCAGTCTGTACGTAGATCAACAATAATAAAATTGGTTTTTGGTCCTTTAATATTTTACAAACCAATTCGATCCGTACATTTTGAGTGTCAACAGACGATTGGCTTTTTTCTCGATTGTAGGTGTATTTTTCTGACATGGGGGTCATATTTACATCTTTTTAAATTATAGTCTCTAAATAGGCTAATTAAATTCTGATACTGGTTGCATATCTTTTCTTTATCTTTTTGGAGATTTACATTGTTGTCAAATATGTTAATATATCCATTAAATTTCGTGGTCCAATTGACCAAATAACTTCTTTCAATTAATCTTTATGTAAGGTATTGGTTAAAATGAAAAAGTCAGTGTCACGAGCGGGATTCGAACCCACGACCTTCGGCTCAATACGTCGCTGCTCTACCACTTGAGCTATCGTTACTTCGATCCACTCGGACACTAACTTCCCATCTCAACCCCACCTTTCGAATTTTCCCTCCTTTTTGCCATTTTTTCAAATGTCGTGTAATCAGGATTTAATTCTTGGCGACAAATGAAATGGCCACGGAGAGCTTTAGTGAACATATACTTCGTTTTACTTATTAAATCCATTAAATTTCGTGGTCTAATTGACCAAATAACTACTTTGAATTAATTAATCTTTATGTATTGGTTGAAATGAAAAAGTTGGTGTCACAAGTGGGATTCGAACCCACGACCATCGCTAAATACGCCGCTGCTCTACCACTTGAGCTATGTTAATATTGGGTTGTCCGGAAAATAATGCAGGATTTTGGTATTAAACAAAAAAAAAGAAACTAGTTACTTTAAAGCAATGTTCTTTAATCAAAATAATTTCCCATACTCTCAATACATTTCTCCCAACGTGTTGGTAACTTATTAATTCCGTCTGAGTAGAATTCAGAATTTTTAGAATTGATAAAATCAATAAATGCATTTTCCAGTTCCGTTTGATTTTTGAATATTATGTGTTGTAAGTAGTGGTCCAGGTGTCTAAAAAAATGGTAGTCAGTAGGCGAGAGGTCCGGAGAGTAGGGTGGGTGAGGCAAAGTTTCATAGCCAAGCTCCAATAATTTTTGTGACGTTACACGTGACACATGTGGTCGAGCGTTGTCATGCAACAAAATGGGCCCTTTCCGATTGACCAAAGAGGGCTTCATTACTGCCAATTTCTGATGCATGGTATTAATTTGGTTACAGTATGATTCAGCATTGATGGTTTCGCCAGGATTTAAGAAGCTGTAGTGTATTAAACCAAATGAAGCCCACCATACCGTAACCATTACCTTTTTTTGATGAGTTGGGGGCTTTGGAAAATGTATTGGAGCTTCTCCTTTGTCGAGCCACTGTCCAGAACGTCTAGTGTTATCGTAGAGAATCCACTTTTCGTCACATGTAACAATTCTGGCCAGAAATGGGTCATTTTTGTTTCGACAAAGAAGTGATGCACAAACATCAAAGCGCTGATTTTTTTGGCGATCGTTTAATGAGTGTGGAACCCAATTTTCGAGTTTTTTCACTTTTCCAATCGCCTTGAGGTGGTCAGCGACGGTCGTTTTACTGACTTTGAGTTGCTCTGCAAGTTCTCGAACAGTTGTTTTGGGGTTTTCTTCCACCACTGATCGCAGAACATCATCATTAAGAGAGGAAGGCCTTCCACGACCTTCTTCATCTTCAAGGCTGAAATCTCCCTCCCGAAATTTTTTAAACCACCTTTGCACAGTGCACTCATTAACACAACCCTCGCCCCAGACTTGGTTAATGTTTCTAGCCGTTTGGGCTCCGCTTCGGCCGAGTTTAAACTCGTAAAAGAAAATCGTACGAAATTCTCGCTTTGACATTATAAGGATGACTGAATTATTTCCAAGTAGCGGAATGCTACAGAGGTAAACAAACAAATCATTTGGAAGAGGATTAATAAGTGTTGACATTCATACAAATGAGTAATCCTGTAAACGTAAACAGAATATTTTATATAGATTTTTTTTAATGAAAACTTAAAATCCTGCATTATTTTCCGGACAACCCGATATATATTATTTCCAAACATTCTAAGTTTTGCTATTATTTTCTTAATCTAAAATTTTGATATTATTAAAATCCATTACATGATTTGTTGCTATTAAATGTTTTGATGGACCTGTTGTTTTCGATTTATTATTTACATCTTTCTCATGTTGTTTCCTTATAATTTTTAACAATTGTATGGTTTTGCCTATATACACGTTTTTTACAGCAACATATTATTTTATAAATTACATTAAATTTTCAAAGTCTGTCAGTTCGCTCGTTAATATTGGAAGGAGATTTTACTTTGTTTATTAATTACATATATAACTTGCTGTTTTCTATATGTTTTCTAATAGTTTTTCTTTTTTTAATATATTAATGTTTCTTTCTGTCAGATCTTCGATATATACAATAATTTAATACCTACTATCTAGATTTTTGTTTTTTCTACTTTTGGTATTGCACCATTACATTTATTGTAATATATATTACATCCATTATATTTAATAGTCTATTGACCAAATTACTTCTTTCAAATATTTAATCTTTTGATGTAAGGTTTTGGCTGAAATGAAAAAGCTAGTGCCACGAGCGAGATTCGAACCCACGACCTTCGGCTAAACACGAGGTAGAACAGCGGCGTATTTAGCCGAAGGTCGGGGGTTCGAATCCCGCTCGTGGCACTAGCTTTTTTCATTTCAACTAAAACCTTTCATAAAAACATTAATTAATTGAATATATATTACGTTCTTTTTGAACAATTGTGTTGATTAAGTTTGTAGGATAATTGTTGTCTACTAACGTTGTATATAGTTATTCGGAAATCGTTAGATGCGGTCTGGTGTGATGTAGGTTTCAGAAAAACATTTTCTTCATCGTGTCAACGTTTCGATCTTTATTGAGATCATCTTCAGGACATGGGATTTACAAACATTGTTTAAATTTAACAAATACATGTAGGATATGGAAAAAAGTGAATTTATACAACGCAAAAAAAAAATTATATTCATTCAAAATATTTCTACTAACTCAAAATGTCTACGCAGAAAACAAACACTGAGTGAGTAGAAATACTTTGATTGAATAGAAAATTTCTATCATTGTATAAATTCATTTTTTCTCATCTTACATGCATTTGTATAATTTAAACAATGTTGATAAATCCTAGGTCCTGAAGATGATCTCAATAAAGATCGAAACGTTGGCACGATTAATAAAATGTTTTTCTGAAACCTACATCACACCAGACCGCATCTCACAATTTCCGAATAATCATCGACTAACGGTCACTAATCACCACACAGTTGTTTATAGCTTTTAATTTATTTTTATGGAATATCTATCACAAATATTTAACATTTTTCTGACTAGGTTCGTTAGTATATTATATTTTTGTTGAAATGGATGAGATGATAAAGAGATTAGTATTCTATTGCTAGTCGTGAATTTTTTATACAATTCGATGGTGAAACTTTGATTTTCTACTACACATGTATGTAAGTTTAGAAATGTCGTGTTTTTTGTTCTCCTATTCAGTCTCTAAGGTGAATTTAAAATGTGCAAAAAGACAAAGAAGTGATATTCAACCAAAATTTAATTAGCATATTTAGAGACAATAATTTTAAAAAATATGGCCATGATGTATTGGCACTCAAAACCAAAAGATCGAGTTGGTTTTTTAAATATTTTTCAGGTTGAAAAATCCATTTATATTATCGTTGATTTATACAAATTTTAGAAAAATATAATCAGGAGGAGGCGGAAAGAGCCTCGAAATGCATCTACGTAAAAATAAAAAGTTGGAAAAGCTTACTGAGTTTTTATAATCCATGTTGTCATCCCTATCCAACAAAAAGAAAAGGAAGAAATTACATTTAAAATTTTTATTACATTTAACGTACATTATTGATAGCAAGTCATTTGGACTTTGGAACGACGCTAGCACAAATTTTTTAAATGACTTCCATCCCAACCTAACCTACGGATCTAATCTTGTTTGGATATTGTGGGTTAAAATTAGGCGTGGACTCATCAGGCTTACTAATTTCGGGGATAATTATCTCGTAGGTACATATGAATCGCGGATTAACCTAAGAGTAATCAACAATTGAAAAGCAATCCGATCAAGTCCCGTGATGAACTAAAACGTTTACATTGCGATTAAACATCTCTTCACCTTGCACAAAATTTCAATCGACTTTGCACAATTACATCCAAAATTAAATATTATATAAAATTCTAAATACTGTACACGATTAATATTTGGGGAAATATTAAATAATTGAGAAGATGAGATAGACTATTAGGAAATATTTCTCTAAGAAGTTAGAAAATGTTCCATTATATTAAAAGTTTGACCGTGATAGAGAATATGAGGCAGGCGCGCGTTTAAAATGATAACTATTCAGATATGGTGAGATGAGGTCGGGTGTGATGAAGGTTTCAGAAAAACATTTTCTTTATCGTGCCAACGTTTCGATCTTTTATTGAGCTCTGAAGATGATCTCAATAAAAGATCGAAACGTTG